TGACTCGCCGAGCCCAAGGCAATCTTCATCGGACTCGCCGAGTTGTTCATCAACTCGTCGAGTTCATGACCATCATCATATGACTCGCCGAGTCCCTTCAATCCTTCATCCATACAAATGCTTTTCAGGCCATTCAAAGAATCCATATTGCAGATCTGAGCTCCTAGGGCATGTTTATCACGTAAAGTTGTAAACTTTACGTGTATGCAAGATGATAAGGGCCCAAAACAAGCTAAAGGAGTGGCTTAAGGTGAAGGAAAGGACATAGATCAACAAATACAGAAAATTTATGACAAAGAGGGGTTAAAGGAGTCCAGATCTAAGATTGCAACCTCAAATCATGACCCAAATCGGATATCCACTCCAAAACCCCAAAACGGATCTAAACCCATAAATGAAGAGATCTAACTAAAGGGGAGTCAAGGTAACAACTTGGTACCTTCAAAACGATGCCAAGACAGAGAAGATTCCAGATCTACAACAGTCCCTTGCTTCATACCTCTTGAACTCCAAGCCCTTTACTCCAAGAATCTTCTTTCAAGATGAGAAACACACAAAATTAGAGGGAAGGCACAAATTAGGGTTTCTGAATTCGAGGGATGCAATAAGAGAGGCTAGGGAGAATAAGTGGTCCTTAAATAGGGTGTAAATCCCTGGAATTTAGGGTTTCATCCGCCAGCTCCTACTCGTCAAGTCCCTCATTGGACTCAACGAGTAGGTCACTAAAACACGCGGACCAACCCGCTGCTACTCGACGAGTTGGGCAACCAACTCGTCGAGTAGACCTTGAAAATAAGAAAATTCTTATATTAATTCAATACCTAAGAATCGGGGCGTTACAGAGAAGAATAACAATAGTGGAGTAGGAGCGGTGGCGATAAGCGGAGATTATCTTTTAATTTCATGCTCACGAGAATTGATTTGGTTTCTAATTGATGCGAAATCAGAGGAGTTCAAGAAGGAAAGATAAAAGAGGAAGGCGGGGCAATTTCGGGAAATCAGTTAGATGATAGGAGCGGGAAAATCGAGGGGAGTAGGCTAAGAGAATGACACACGACAAAAATGCTCTTATTTATTAGAGTAGAGGATATTATATCTGCTCTAATAAATGAATGTTTTTTGCCACTTGTCACACTCTGATTCAATTTGTTAAATGTCATTTTGTGGTTACTTTGATTTAATTTTTTTCCACATGTCATTTTATGAGTTTTTATTTTATTTTATTAAATTCCACATGTAATATTTGCAATAAATGTAGTAATAAATGAATATAAATTTCTGTAATGAACTTACAATTTAATTTTAAAATTCCCAAAATTAAAGTTCATTAATTTTCTTTTATTTATTTAAATTATTTGTTTAAATTTAAAAGATAAAAAACATTTCTATTATAATAATTCATTATTTTTCTTATTTTCTTATAAATTCAAAATTCTCAAATATTTTGACTTATATATATATATATATATATATATATATATATATATATATATATATATATATATATTATATGTCTCAATCTAACCATTAGAACTAGGGATGAGCATGTGTGACATCCCAAAAATTACAGCTAGAAAAGACCGATTTCATTTATGTTTTTTGAAATAATTTCAGAGTAAATCCTTTTGATTTAAAAGAGTTGCGGAATTTGTTCCAAAAAACAAAATATGATAAGATAATATTTATCAAAGCATTTCATCAAGAGATGCATTTTCATTATATAATCAAAACTCGGGATGTCATGTTCCGATACAGACCATAAAGCATAAACGATAACATTACAAGTCATTCAACAAATATATACATATACAGACTTGTAAACAAAACAACTCGATGATTCATCCATCTTATGCTCTTACGCCACTTCCTGTAATACAAATAAAACTGAGTGGGTCAGACTTGGGAGCCTGGTGAGCATATAGGGTTTTCAACCCACAATAAATAAATTATATTTAATTTCACCAACCAACAACAACCCGATTACCCATTCCCGTTATCCTCACTTTACGTCCCTAAAACAACATCTATCTCAAGGGACCTAATCTAGGATTTTCATCGGGACGGACATTACTGCTAAGGGGTTTCCTCAATAATAGATATCCTAAAGGCAACCATGAGGGGGATAGAGTACACCGGTGAACACATCGTTCACAACACCTACAGGTTATGAACCTGCTAGCGTTCCACAAGACTATCTAGAAAAAGTCTGTGGCCGTCATCCATACTCCGCTAGATGACTAGCTCAACAACAACAACAACAACAACGATGCCTCTCATCTGTTTATCACATATCAACTATCTACACATGTTCTACCCAACATCTTAGTAGATAAAAATATATATTTTTATACATAGTTTAAAACCTGTATAGCATGTTCAATCAATACATATTCCACATAATAGATGAGGCATACACACATAACACATATTTCATAGAGAATAAATCGGATCTATGAGATAGAAGAAAGTGAATATACTCCCACACGTATATCAACAAAATATATACACATAACACGTATTTTATATAAAATACTTCGTAATATTGCGTTGGAATGAAAATGACTACACACTCACTTGATCAGAAGATGATGGGATAGCACTACGACTTGTAGAAGTAGTATTCTTCGGTAGATCTGGAAGATCTTCACAAAACCGGACTCCTCGCGGGAAGAACTTCGGCTCGAGAATCACACTTCTCGGGATCTTCAGGGTTTTGGGACTTGCTTCGGGGCTCGGGAATGATACCGGGACTTCGAGATATTTCTTGCACGTAAATCGATGCAAAACGGGAGAGAGAGAAGAGAAAATGAGCAAATAAATCGGATGCACTCGACTCCCTTTTATAGGGTTTGGATCCTCTATTTATGCTGGGCGTAAATCTAGGTACGCTGGGCGTAACCTGGATAGGATCGTTGACTCCCCCCCTTTGGATAATATCCGAAATTTATATTTAAATTTAATATTTTATTTATTTAATAAACTTCAAAAATTCATATCTCCTTCATACGAACTCCATTTTCGACGTTCTTTATATCCTCGCGTAGGTGAGACTACGATCTACAACTTTCATTTTGAATCCGTCGGATAATTTTGAAATTATTTATTTTTAGTAGGCCGGGACAGGAAAACTCCATTATAAAATCATAACTTCTTCATCTGACGGCCGTTTTCGCCTATCTTTTCATCGTTTCACTACAATTAACGAGATCTTCGATTCTCGTTTAGATTGTTTGGGCTAAAAACCGCTCGATCTCAAATCGAGTATTCGGGCTGCATACTGCTAAGTCGAAACTCCGAAAAATCATAACTTCCTCATACGAAGTCCGATTTGGGCGTTGTTTTTATGCACACTCTCGGTTTAACGAACTCTACGACTTTCGTTTAGATTACTAAGGCTAAATATCGCTCTAATGTAAATTTCACTTTTTACGTCGTTCAGCATTGTCGGTTCTGTCGCGAAACTTCGACAAGTCATAACTTCTTCGTTATAACTCGGATTTCGGCATTCTTTATATATTCAGAAACCTCATTTCAAATACTACAACATTATCCATAGATATCGAGCTTATATAACATTTTATCTTGACGCTTATTTTTATTCTTAATTCAATTAAGTTACATATTTAAGCACAAAACACATAATACTCAAATAATACATTTTTATTATTTCAAAACGGGTTACAAAGGTTAACCTAGACTATTATATCAACATTAATAACAAGCTCAGAAACACAGGCGTTACAGCATGGGACGGAACCGGTACCGACCCGTCCCGTTCCTGATTTCTCGAATACCTAATTTGATCGAAAGATAATCCCGAGTACTGAACCGAATTAACATCACCGATACCGGGACCGGGAATGGTACCGGTACTCGGTACTAGTACTGATATAGGCGGTACCGATTTCTGAATTTCATGTATTTAGAGTACCAAGTACCGTCCCGTATTTTTAAATTCGGTACGGTGCAGTACCGGTACGGGATCGAGATTTGGAATAAATTGTTCATCCCTAATTAGAACCAACTATTATTTGTAATTGAGCTCAATTTTCAGGTAACTACATACAATAGCAAATTTCGATGGTTAAATTGTACCAAAAAAATGATGGTTTTTTTATCAATAGACTAAAATATAGATATATATTTTTTTCAATGCATAATAATTTTTAACATTTACTCTTATCTATTTTATAATCTATTCTTGCTGAAATAACCATTACAGATTGTTTGATTTAATAAATAAATATAAAATTTTAAGTATACTTATATTTAATAAAAATATGTTGATTGAAATGTAAAAATATATTGCTATAAAATGTATGTCACTTTTAATGATGAAACTAAATCAAAATTTAATACAAAATATCCATCCAAATGCGAAGTACTCTATTGAGAACAATGCATGAAATTCATCCATAGATGGATAGAGAATATGCAAAACAATTTTGTTTATGTTTTTAAAAATCTAAATAAGTTGTAATGATTATTTCAACAAAAATAGATTATAATTTAAGGTGTTTAAGATCATATTTAAAAACGACTTGTTAACTTTTTGAAGTCAAATACCCTATAAATATGTATAAGTTAATATAAATACTTTTTAAAAAATAACTTATTTAATTATGGATTTTTCCAGCACACAAGCCAATCAAACACTTTTTGAAAAACACATTTTGTTACTATCACAAGTCAATAAATCATTTTTGCTAAAAGTTATTTCGAGGTTCAAAATGAAATCTAAAACGTTATTTTTATCTTAAAATAGATAAAACTTGAGGTTAAAAATTATTATGCATTAAAAAAAATATTTTTTAATTTATTGTCAATTTTTTTTTTCTTATATTGTTTTTACAATTTAACAATCCAAACCTCCAATTATATGCCCTTAACCGTTTTTAAAAGTTATATATAGAAAAAAAGAAAAAAAATCTTAGTGATAATAGATACAAAATATAGAAACATTTTATACAGATTTCCTTTTTTAAAACCGGTAAATAGAACTAACACATTTAAATAAAAAAAAAGACATTTAGGGTTTTCTTCAATTTAATACGACCCACCCCTCTCACGCTTTTAAGAACCCAAACCCTAATTATTATTTCACTCTTTGCGATCCTTTGCGCGCCGCTGCTATTTCTGCTTCGAGGTAAACCCTTTCTCTTTCTCTCAGGGGCGTATACGTGTTTTGGGCCATTTACATAGTGCTGCTGCAGTGCATAAGCTTTTGTTCTTTGCAATTTGACTTCTGATTAAGTTAATCGTTTGCTCGATCTATAAACCTCTTATTCGCCCGTTTCGATTTTATCTAGTTCTTTATTACATTGATGTCTTATTTTCGACACCTGAATGATTATGCCTCTTCTTGCTCCGTGATGTGACTTTTAGGCTTATCAAACGAAGAACATACTATTGACATTTATTGTTAGCTTTTGGTTTCGTCATTTTATTTGAAATATCTAATGCATGATCTCGCACCTTAAGTGGATTTCAGTTTCTGTATAATCTGGTAAGCTAGCTGTTTGTTTATGGAGTACGTGTTGACGAATGATGAGTCTTTGTGAGTTTCTCTGTTCAGTGTTTCGTTTACTCAATTGTAAAAGCAAGGAATTAGTGTTTCGTTTTTCCCAAGAGACTTCAAATCACATCGTGCTTATAAATTGTGTTTACTTCGTAATTTACTGTGTGCTTGCATCATATATCAGAATTAAGATTCATCATTTCAAGTAGTTTATGATGAATCACTTGAACATCTGATATGTTTTCTCCTTTCGAAATTGAGCTTTCAGTATCGTTTACTCAATTGTAAAACCATCTCATGTTTCAAAAATCAAATAACTTTCAAGTAATTTAGATCATTATTGATGCTTCAATTTGTTTTTCTTCCAGGATCTTGAAATTTTTGAACAATGGTGAGGGTTAGTGTTCTGAATGATGCTCTTAAAAGCATGTACAATGCTGAGAAGAGAGGGAAAAGACAGGTCATGATTAGGCCTTCTTCAAAAGTTATCATCAAGTTCCTTATTGTTATGCAAAAACATGGTTTGTCTCTTTAACACTTCCTCTCAATTTATCTTGAAACATTCTTATCTCCCCAATCTGAATAACCCAACCATTGTTTTGTTTTACACAGGTTATATTGGTGAGTTTGAGTATGTTGATGATCACAGATCAGGTAAGATTGTGGTGGAATTGAATGGAAGATTGAACAAATGTGGAGTTATCAGTCCTCGATTTGATGTTGGTGTCAAGGAAATTGAACCATGGACTGCTAGACTTCTCCCTTCAAGACAGGTTAGTTTAATCAAATTATATATTTATTATATATAATTGTTTTTTGTTGTTTGAATTTACAAATTTGCCCTTGGGTGTTTTTGTGAATGTGTAGTTTGGTTACATTGTATTGACAACATCTGCTGGAATCATGGATCATGAAGAAGCTAGGAGGAAGAATGTTGGTGGAAAAGTGCTTGGTTTCTTCTATTGAAAAACATGATATTTTGAAAAAGATGAATTTATTTTGTGTTTTGAGATTGAATTTTGTCAAGGCAAGTTATGGTTTTGGTTTTGTTTTGTGTTAGTTGTTTGTCATGTTATGACTTTAATTTGTATCACAGTTTTTAATTATGCTATAAGTTACATTATTTCTGCTATCACGTGGTTGTTGCACATTTTTTTAATCATGTATGTGTATGATAGATATAATAAGGTTATAGTAAGATGATATATCAACGTTGTTAAAGCTATAGCTTTTTATATGCCACTTTGTATGTCACCTAAGCTGAAAACTGATAAAACATATTATTGTCGGTTTCAATTATGTTATTGTCAGTAAGTTCTAAGCTCTTAAAATTGTTCAGATATAAGGGTTCAAAATAGAAATGTTATCTATCTCAAATTGATTATTTCCATTGATGAATGAAAGAATATATACATAAGGAAAGATGATTGCATTCCCAAATACAAGCTATCGATCCCTATGAATTACCAAACAATGAATGGTAATAAAACAGGGGAATAAATGAGAAGATATAGCAAATCAAAATAATTCAAAATATTCAAATTTTATTAGGTCTAACATGCCCCCGTAAGATGCACCGTTGTGAGAGGAGTCCAATCTTGGATATGAGAAGCCGTTGCTTGTGCTTGAAGAGAAGTTTGGTGAGAGCATCCACTAGTTGATCATTTCCGGTTATGTGGGAAACGAGCAGGGCGCCTGCTTGTACTTTCTCACAGACAAAGTGAAAATCCAATGCCAACGAGGTGATCGATGGATGGTGATAAACTACCAATGAGGGTGCCAAAGAGGAGGCGGTCCTGTCGAAACCAAGAAGAGTAGGCGGGGTTGGGTGTGTTGATGACATCAACTCCAGTTCCAGTGGTGGTGTTGTTGATGAGTTTTGAGCATTCTAACACTTCCTAAGTGTACATGATAAACTACCAATGAGGGTGCCAAAGAGGAGGCGGTCCTGTCGAAACCAAGAAGAGTAGGCGGGGTTGGGTGTGTTGATGACATCAACTCCAGTTCCAGTGGTGGTGTTGTTGATGAGTTTTGAGCATTCTAACACTTCCTAAGTGTACATGCAACCCTAATAAACCATGGATCTATGTTTGTCTAAGATTAATGCAAAATTGATTTCCAAGGTTCATGATCCTATCTAGCGTACATGGGGAACATTTTAACTAAAATGAAAGATAGAATTACATACCTTACTGTTTATTTTGATTCCTTGAAACCTTGTGAGCCTAGCACCCCAAGTGTGATGTCTCAAATGCTTCACACAACACCAAATGCTATGGAGTAAACTTGGAGAGAAAGTATAACACTCAAAAATTGGCTCTAGCCCTCAAGTATGCATGTGTAGCTGATTTTGGGAGATGTTACATGGTTTATATAATGTGTTGCATTTGGTAAAACCTAATGTAACATGACTCTTCATTTCCATGACCCATTGATTAACTCCATGGAGCATCCATGGAGTATCTTATGGGTGGAACCCAACTTGATAATCCATGGAGCCTCTTAGCCCACTATATAAGTTATGGATGATTTACATAATCAGCCCATATATTTAATTAGTTATCTTTTGATCACTTAATTAATTCTAAATTAATTTTTGATCAAACTAATTAAATAATATTATTAATATATTAGAACTTATAATATATTAATAAACCATAAGTGTTATTTCTCTTATTTAGTTTATCCAATGCATGGTGCCATGCAACCCAAATGGACCATGCCGGGTCGGGTCAAGTACATACCATAAATAGTTATGGACTTAGACACCTTATCCAACAGTTGTAACATGTGAATTAAACCTTGTTCACCAACGTTTAGTTCAAAATTGCAAACAGGTAATATTGGAACAGAGAAAAAACAAAAAATAGTGAACATGAGAGAATGAAACGAGAACATGGGAAGAAACAGTTCTGGGAAAATTGCTTGTTCACCAAGCTTGATTAGAAACAAGAGCGTAAAAAACTAATTACAATTACTTCTACTTAACCCTTATATATACTAAAAGAGTTAGACTCCTAAAATAACTCAAAAACATTTAAAAAATAGCAGTTCTGAAAATACCCCTAGCTAAACTTGTCCCATATTTCTAGATTATTCTAACATTTTTCCCCTTAATCCAAAAATCTCATCATCTTCATTCCTAGCATCATCTTCATATTGTCAAACTTGAATTTTCCAAATGATTTACTTAATCTTTCTTTCTTTCCAATGATATACCATTTGACAAAAACTAGATCATAAATTGTTGCTCTTTTACTATACTTTGAAATATGCTTTAGCACATGTATATGCTTGAATGTGAAATGTTCTATGTATCGACCCATCATTCCTACGACATATGAAATGTCTAGCTTAGTGTTTGTCATGTACCTTAATCCTCCAATGATGCTTCCATATTCATTGGACTAGTCTGGTTCACCTTGGTGCAACAACATTTTTAAACAAGGTTGGTTGTCTTCGGGTGTAACTAAAACCTTAGTCTTATGTGTACATATAAGAGTGTTCCGTGTGATAAGAACAAACATTCTATCATCTTTTGTCTTATTGCCAAGTGATAAGAAAGTGATATCAGGTAACACCACCTTCTGTTCCACTTGTGTAGTCTCACCACTCAAATTTGAGTCATATCATCAGCCTTATAAACCACAACTTCATCATAGTTGATTTTCTTTTTCATTAAAAAAACTCCTCATTTAATTTTATTTTGGTAATATTTGCATCAACTGAGCAACTAACCTGTTGCTTAATGTCATCCTTATGCAACAACTTTATTCCAATAAAATATTGTTAAACATATGAAAAAATATTTTTTCTTAAACTTCCTTCATACAAACTTGTGGTGACTTTTGATGGGTTTTACATGTATTAACACGGATAAATCCTTACACGTAAGGGTACATGCAACCTAAAGATCTAAGTCATAACACTATTGATGTAACATTCTATTGAACAACAAGAACACACTAACCATAGGTAATTTCAAAAATTATAGAAGGAACAACATACCTTTTGATTGTTGTAGTAAACAATCAAGAATCATTTCTTTAGAAACTTGGAAGCTAGCAACACAAATGTATTGCCTCTGATGGTTCACACCCAACACTAGCAATAAGAAGCTTTTAAGAGAGGAGATGGGATGTCAATTTTCGGCTATCTCTAGGGTAGGAAGAGGTGGCCGAAAATTGTAGCTCTATGGGTCCTTTTATAGTGAAAATTGGAAACCCTAGATAACCCTAAATGAATAAAATAATATTTTATTCAAATTGGTAATTATCTATGTAACAGCTCAAATTTTCAAATATATATTTTTTTTCAATTTTAAATTCTCAAAACATAGTTCATAGCATCAACCCATGCAAAAATGTAATTGTCAAATACAAAATATCATGAAACAAAGTCAAATATCCTAGAATCCACATAAACTCTAATCATCAAGTTGGTGTGTACAATCATGTCGGTGCCTTGCCACGATCCTGTGATGTACCCGAAACACATTAATCAACACTGTAAGCATAAAGCTTAGTGAGTTCCCCAAAATACCATATACAAAAATAAATTGCCTCTTATTGCTAAATCTCGATAAGGCCCCTCCGATTTATGTGTCTCAGTGAAGACCCTACGGTCTCACGTCACGGTATGGACCCTCCGGTAATACTCAGTAAATACACAAAATAACATAATAACAAAAGTCACAAATACAGAATGCATAATAACACATAAACAGATAAGGCCCTCCGGTCAGTAATACAAGTAAGAGCCTCCAGTCCATAACATGAATAAGACCCTTTAGTCACACAAAAGTAACCACTCAAGTAAGTATAGTGAGAAGACTCACCTCTCGCTAGAAAGCAATTAATCTCGCGCCCGAACTGTCGGTCTAGACTCCGCCTCTGGAAGATGCACCAACAAGAGTAGAACCCAAATCCAGGAGCTAGAAGCACAAACTATCCTTCCTTCAAGGCTCCTTCTTCACTAAAAGCTTCACAAGAACACTCAAATGAGCCACAAACACTCACACAAACTAGGAATACAAAATTAGAGTTTGAGGGAGGTTGGAGGTTGGAAAAGGTGGCTGGAAATAAGGTCATCGTGTTCCTTAAATAGGGAAAGAAAAGAGCATTAGGGTTTTACTCTGAGCCTAGTATGCCCAACGTACCCTATGGTAAACCCAACATACTAGGTGGCCTCCACGATCATGCAAAGTGCATGAGTACGTTGCGCGTACACATGCGTACATCCCGCATATTCAATTGCCACCTTTTCTCAATAAGGACTAGTCTTGACAAATACATAAAAGATTAAGGTCAGTGAACTATACCTCTTTTCGGGATGTTACAATCCAACTTCTTATTTGTCTAAAAGGATTATTCCAGATGCCCTGGAATACCCTAGAATTCGTCCACCTCCTTCCAAGGAAGGTTCTAGACTTTTTCTTGTTCAACTATTGAACAATTACACTTTAACCATTGCACTTTTAATTAATACAGTTAATCCTAAAATTAACTTAATTATTTTCTAATTAATTATTAATTAAATATGAATATTTCTAATTAATGTATTATTTCATAAAATATTAATAAATTCAGTTATTTATATTTATTAATCATATAATAAATCAATAAATCAATCTCTCTCTTTAAAAGTCATCATATTCAATTACTAGGTTTGAGAGAAACCCAAAAGGACTTTGCTAATAGTTCAAGATTATACTAATTCAATTATTGGCTTAGACACCTAATCTAACAGTCTCCCACTTGGATAAGTCTATAATTGGAATTACCAGTATAACTTCTAAATTAGCAACAAAGGTGCTTCTATAGCAACTATCGAACTCTGAGATAAATAAACATTGGTCCTAAGATAAGTGATCCAGTATTCCTCAGTTCCACTAGATATCATACGTACATGAGACATGGATTAGAATCAATCTCATTGTCTAAAATTTTGTTTCACGATTTCCTAATTTATGACGACGACATATGACTTCAAATTGAACACATCAATTGAGTCCTGGCTAGGCCCAACACTATAAGTTAACACCAAATCACCACAGGGCCCAAAGATATCGCTTTTCCCGTTAGTGCAAAAGGAACGAATAAACTTTGACTTATATGTTTGTATCCTTTACTCACCAAATCATACATGACACTACATTTTATAATATCATGTTACTGATGTGTTTACGCAACACCAATTCACAACCGACTTGTA